CACACATGCTCCGAGGAGGAGGGTGGTTCGTATATTGTCAGCATACGGTTGAAGTCCCTGTCGCGTTCGCGATACCACTTTCTTTGCGTCCATGGTTCGCCGAACAAAATTGCGGTTTTGGCCATGTAGGACGTATTTGTTGGGTGAGCTTTGATGTTACCTCTGGAACCAAAGGCCATTCCATGGTTGAGCCCTAACGGGCACGAAGAGAGAACTATTGTTTTTACCGATGGCAATGAGGGGGTAGGAAATAATTGATCTGACTAATGAATAAGGTGGAAGGTAAGTCACCGGATTTTTAAATAAAACTCTTTTAGTCAAAAAAAATGGTACAGAAAATATTTATATACTTATATTTAATTTAATTCACTGGTAAGACTGCTTAAAATATTTATTTCTCATGCCACCATCACAAAACATGTAAATTATATAATATTGGACTATTACAATTTATTTCAATTGGTAACAATGAATTAATTAAATAATGAAGCATATAAAGTAAATAATAAATATTTAAAAGAACACTTCAAACTTAGACCATGTTCGTTTTTTTCGCATCATATTTTTTGCTTACAATAGGTTTTGTTACTTCGAGTAACGATAATCTTCGCTTTCTATTCGATAACACACCACCGAAAGAGAATGAGGCGCAATTATGGTCAATATCTGATGAGCAGCAGAACTTTAATGCACCAGCGAATTTGTTATGCCAGTGCTCAAAACAACTCGAACGTGCAGTACCGGTGCAAATGGACAGTATTGAGGGCAAGAATATTGCAATTGCAGATAAATCGTTTAGTCCTTTCTTTTACACTCCTATGATTTTGAAACAGTGTGATGAAGTGAGAAATACAGATAAGTCAGAAGAACAAAAGAACAGAGAGAGTTATAATAGCACTTGCAATGTAGAAAAAAGAAATCAGCCGCTAAACCTTGAAAATGGTACACAAACTAATCACCAAATGAACACTGAGGGGCAACAAGCTGCGAACGATATTAATTCAGATGAATGTGATGCACTTTGTGCAAATGTAGATCCAATTCATAATATCAGCTCGTCGTTTTTGGAATGTCTTATCGAAGATAACCAAGGAGCAGAAGCTGTGAGTACAGAAAAAATCGATGATTTGCGATTAGATAGCATCAACATACTTCCTCGTTTAAATCATACGTTTAACACATGTAATGATCACAATACCACAGGGACTGTCTCAAAAACCTTAAACAGAAACGCGCCAAAACCATGCTTACTTTCATATTCAAATACATTTGAGCAAGTTCCATGCGATAAAACGTTTGTACCCGTTAATAACCATAACCAGTGTCCGTGTATTCATAGCCAATCTCCGAACCATATATTCGATTGTGCACAACAACACAATTCACAGGCACCATTTCAAAGCGTATTCGTAGCACCATCATTAAATCCGCTACATTTCGTGCCGCCATATATGAAGTACAGCCCGTTACATTCGCATAATTTAGCGATGTATAACGCTTCAAACATGTATATGTTGGTTCCAGTCAAACGTATGCAAGGAAATTACGTTATCTATCCCAATTTCCCACCTGCTATGCAAACACCAATTTATCCGTATACATCAGGGATGCAAACACTTACAGTCACACCAATTTGCCATTTATTGCCTGTGTTAAAACATCCAGCGCGAAACAATCAAACATATGTGCTATCTAATTCCAATTCATCAACAACCATACCAGATAAGTCTTCGAAATAAATTATAAGCCATCTAAGTACATTATAATACAGTTTTTCCGAGTGTTTTATATTATATATTGATCAAATTCTTTACCATAAATTTGTGCTATCGTTAATCCACCATCATCCTATAGTTGTCAAAATTATTATTCCACGTGTCAACATTACATGATGTATTCTTTTTTTAGAAAATGACAGTAATTTATCATATCAATATTCAATCAAAGCAAAGACCAAAAAATTTTATTCTACAAAAAATTATTAAAATATACGCTAAAATCTTATTTATGATAAGCTTGGGACAAGATGTTCGGTTTACATTGACACTTGATAACGTTTAGAAAACCTCGATAATAGATGCTGATATGACATTAATTAACAATTTCACAATAAAACATGCCTTTTAAATTAAATACAGCGGATATTCGATGTATTAATACTAGTATGAGCAGGTTAACATCATTTTTTGATAATTTTTCCTGGATAAAAGTGTTTTAATTGCTTCATAAACGGTTCTGATTTTATGTAAGATTGATAAACTTGTGAGAATCATCTTTATTAAATAAAAACGTGCTAAAAGCAGAATACCTTCTTCATGATGGAAAAATTAGCACATATAAAAATATATTTGTAGTGCAAATCTAATTGATTTAATTAAAAATCACTTCATTTATGATGATACAGTCACGATTATCACATTTAAATATTTAGTGCGGCTTAATAATGTCAACTTATTAGAATGATTAATTATGAAGGTGCGTACAGAGATTTTAATTAAACGAACTTTCAAGCAAATATGAAAGTGTGTGCAAACAATTTTACCAAATGTTGTGTAATAAAGTACAACAACTCACGTCTTATAGATGTTAGTTTATTTTACGTAAAAAAGGTCCCACCGAGAATCGAACTCGGGTCTTGAGTACCAGAAACTCAGGTGATAACCACTACACCATAGGACCGTGCTGTGCGGATATGATTACATTGAAATACATAATACACAAAAATACTTTTAACAAGGCTTAATCATTAGCCAAAAAATAATCCTCTTTACAAGTTACTTCTGAGTGAATCTCCCGCCAATAGTTTGTATATTAATATTCCGAATGATTTTGCAGTTTTTTCATAAAAATCTTTAAGCAAATTGTAACTTAGAAGTTAAAATTACTTTTGTACTAGAGTTTACTTTATGTTGTAAAAATCAATGTATTAATATTTGTCACAAACCACGAGAAAGTCGCTAAGGTCTATTCTAGTATACAAAAATCTTTGAGCTGTGGGGATGTATATAAGCCAAAACAGGTAGTCATGATCGTTTGCTTCCTGCATCACGAGTGCTTATGTGATGAGATGTGTAGAATTATAATTACAACACTTTCAAGAACAAAAAATACAAGATATACACAACAATAACAGAGGCATTTCTAACAAAAAAAAATTAAAAACTAGTATAACACGAACAGAGTGGTTAAAACAAAATATTTAAACAAAAATTAACTAATCAATTACATCATTAATATTTTATCCGCAGTACGTGCTGATTTACGATACCATTAATTACAATGAAAATGATAGTTCAAAATTTTGGTAAGATAAATAAAATAGAATTGTCACAGCGTAACAAATTACCATATAAAGGATAAAATATTTTATCCCGTGAAAAACTTACATAGAGATGATTACGACAGAAATAATAATTAATTTACGTTATTACATCAAATAAAGATTTGAATCAAAATGAATTCAATTGAGGTACGATACTATTTATTTACTCCATTATGTGTAAATTCATTTAAATACTGGTTTAAATGTATAACATTGATCATCTACTTGATAAACAGAAATAAGTACACATAACTAAGCCAAAATTACCCTGTATTTTCATAATAAACATCCAAACAATCAACAGTTCGTTTGGTTAGCCCGAATAATGTTCTAATAGAACTTTTTATCACAAATGTTGAATCATTAAAAACCAAAGGGCCGACCCTTCCAAATGGCAAAGCAAACCACCAAGGAACAAAAAAAAGAGATAATACTCTCATTATTCAATCCAACCACCGTATACAACCTCAAAGAACTAGAAAAGCTATCATCCAAACTAGGCATCCGTTCTAACCTCGTCAAAGACCTAGTAACTGAGCTAACCAACGACAATCTAATTACATCGGACAAGATCGGCATATCAACATACTACTGGCGAATACCACCCAACAATTCAACCGAATACAAGCGACTCACCAGCCAACTACATGTCAAAGAGCTTGAAAAACAGCGACTAACCCAGCAGGAACAGCAGCTCAAGGCCGAACGATGTGATGCCAGCAGAGCGGATATGATTGATGAATATGCTGCGCTCAGTAAGATTGGAGATGTGCCGTTCTGTTTGGAACATTATAGAAGTTTATGCGATGGTGTTGATGTGATGAGGGATGATGTGAATAGAATTACTGAGGATGTGTTTGTTTTGAGAAGGTTTGTTTGCGATACTTATGGAATGTTAGTTGGTGATTTTGATCGTAATTTTGGTGTTGGAGATGATTTTGAGCTATTGGATTGATTATTCATGAATAGCTTAGCATTGGTGTATAATTCGTTTATAATTAATTAACATTGATGTATAAACAATTATCTTCTATTAATTAATTGGTATAATAATACTAATGGTAGATATTTATTGCAATTATGTTTATTATAAATAGGATTCAAGAATACTACGTCATTTATGTTTATATAATCAATCGTAATATGATTACCAAACTGTTATCCTTCATTACACCACGAATCATTTAACCTACAACTAACAACGAATAAATACACCGATAAATCACCACATAGTAATAAATGATGAATATTCCTCTGTACGATGCTCTTTTAATTAAATCAAATTTATTAACATACAATATTATTGATAGTTAAGAGTAACGTTTCCATTAAATCTATTTAATTATTATAGTGATTGATGTATTACGTGTTAAGAAACCGTTACTGTAGCAACAGTCATTAATTAATTAATTAATTACGTACTTATAAAGAATCAACGCCTGTTAACACGAAGGAGAATGTTAATTAAGTAAAATAAATTGCGTTTTCATCGTATCACACCTAAACGTTAAGATATGATGGTTAAATGCACCAACCTACTTAAACCATATTTATATATCGCACGTTTTATACCATTTTTTACAAACCATATTTTATTTACATCACAAGTCTGTAATAACACCCAACATGCTCTTGCCATACACATCAATAGTTTCTTTTTACGAACTGCACCGTATAATACGTTTTTACCCTTTATCGTACATTTTGTATCACACCATATTTTTCTCTAAATTATAATAAGAAAGGCACCTTAATTTAATGGTAGTACCACCTAGATATTTGTATTATATCGTATAATAAACCGATTATATTCCAATTAAAAAGAAACGTCACGTATACTTTTCCTTAAGATATTATAAGATATTCTACTATAAGATATTCTATAAGATATTAATCCTGTAATGATTCTCTAATACAAATAAGCATGATGTATTAATTATTCACCATCATCCTTAATTAGTACCTTCTATTCTCAAAATAATTAACCTACCAATCAACCATTCTCTTTACTTAATTACAACTACCAAAAGTAAATAAATACATTCGTTACAATATTATTATGTAATTGTATGCATACATTTACGTTGTATTAATAATAACGATAGGATATAATCTTATTATCAACCTTATAATAATGTTATTGTTAATTTTAATAATAATATTATTGTTAATGTTAATAATGTTATTAATGTTAATAATGTTATCGTTATTAATTTTAACAATGTTAATCTTATTGTTAATGATAATGTTATTATCATTATTAGTACATCCTATTATTATTAACATTTTTATATCCTATTATTATATCCTATGGTTAATTCATTCTATAAAAAGATAACTCACAAGTTGATTGGTCAATTTGAGAAACAATCCAAAAAATATTATTTCATTACTATTGATAAGTTGTATATTGTTATTAAAGTCTCAGGTTTTTAAACTCTTTCATCAGCCATTTGAAATGAATGTTTAGTGAAAATGCCCATCACGAGTCAAAAATTAATTTTTCAACCCCTGATGAGAAATACAAAAAACACTGAAATAGTCGACTTGAAATGAAGCAAAGAACAGCCTCTAACGTAAGCATTTCAATTTAAATTTCCGTTTTATAAATGGAATAGCGCAGATAGTTCATTCTATCCATACCAATTCTATTTATATTATTACTACATAGTAATACTATACCATATTAAATGATACTACCATCAATAACATTAGCCTACATTACGTACCAATACTTATCAATATTTACTCTTCCTCCACTGCCAATACTCATTTCTATTGCCTGCCCCTTTTCCTTTCTATCATAAGCACGATCTTCCTAAATATTCTTTTAAACAACGAGTGTTCGTTAACAGTACGCACAAATCGATGACTAAACGTACTTACCATCTCATTACTTACTCTCTCCCAGTACAGCAATGCAATACGTAGTTCATCCCTAATCTCTCTAATCTCATTCATCAGGTCAGTCTCGATGTTCTTGATCGTATTCTTGACATAAATACTCTCCTTCTTAAAAAACGACAGGTTAAGCTCATCCGCGTTGATACCACGCTCAAGCTGCCTGCGCACAAAAAGATCGTAGTCCTTCACAATTTTCGTGATGATGTTCGTGGTGCTTATGCCAAGCGTTCGCCTGGTTGGTATGAATTTGTTGGCACGTTTTAAGCTGTCATACACGTCTGCCGTGTGCGCACACGAGTATGGCACGTTATCGTGGCACACGTAATCTATGCGATGTGCTTCTATGAATGCATCGGTTATTGACCAGGGCGCGTCTTGTATTACCTCGTCAACGTAGCGGCAGTGCCGTACGCTCTCTGTACGCTCGTGCTCGTTGAACACGAGGGAGCCCTTGTTTTGCAGGGTCGTGCAGTCGTTGGTAACACCAACGAGAAGGTACACGTTGGGGAATAAATGCTTGGCCTGCATTAATGAGCGCATGTGGCCGTAGTGGAACAGGTCGTATACGCCGTCGCAGTAAATGCGCACTGGCCGGTTCTTCGGGATGGGGTACTGCTTGTCTTCTATCGGGTCTTCAAATGCAAATTGTGAATTGTTAGGATAGAACGGTCTGGCAAGGATAGTTTCATCTGCAAGTGCCGT